TCAAATAACGGAGCACATAGTGGAACTTCACCTATGTGAACATAGAAGTGGTGCCGCTTCTCATGAGGGTTTGGGTTTGCTCTCGGGATTGTTCATGAAACCAGGAAATAAGCACATGACCATAACAGTGTTGAGCAAAACTTGAAACTCTTGTAGAGACTAGACATTTTTGTGTGTATAGGTGTCTCTGGTCTGTCTTAAGAGTAATTGGTTTAAGGTCTTACCACAATAACTTTGACAAGGCTCCGAGATAACTATACTAACAAGATGTTTAAGTTGATAAACACCTTTTGTATGCATAATTGTGTCATAGTAGTTTGGATTGAGAGAGAAATATGTAATTGATCTATCAATGTGGGGGATTGTTGGATTTTTAATCTCATACGAGATTAAATCCAATGGGTTTGATTGATCAATTAAATGAGAAATTGCACCTRCACACTTGGTTGAAAAATCAGTTTTTTTCTTACAAAAAYCCAGTTTTGAACTTGTCCCACATTGGAAAATTATAAGTTTTGTTTTCAGTATTTCAATTGGAGCTGATTTACACTCCTTAGAATTAGTAGAGGAGAGTATGGAGATTCGATACCGCGCAACGCACGCACACATGTGACACAATGAGGCGCACTTTGCTCGCACCCGCGTGGCTCGCGATGGGCGGCTCTGGTTTTGGTGCGTTGATGACCGTTGATTACCGTTGATCACCGCTGATGAGATCAACGGTCACGATTCGATCGGGTGTGATCAAGAGGCACAATTCAATGTTTATAGTCACCAACTGTTAACTATTTTTTAAACGGTCACAATGTTTGAAATTGTGTGTGTTCAAGGTGCATTCTCTAAACCAGCACCTACATTTTCATCATACCTCTTCACAAATTATTTAAGGAGCATGAATCTGACTCCAAATCACACAATTTCAAAATTCACTTTCTCTCTCTCTCTCAGTCCGGTCTGCTACAGTTTCACAGAAGGTTTCTTTGGAGACTTCAAACTTTACTGGTTGCAGATTCTCGCCCAAGGCTCTGTTGTATCATGGGAACGAATTTGCCTGTAACCCAACAGCAAACTCAGTACAACTGGGTGGGGGCAAATAACGTTCTAAAGACAGTGTTTTCAGACGCGCCTCAGAGCTTATCTTCCAAAGTTACAGTGACCCCATTTTTCTCCAACAGCAACTTTAACTACTATACTAGGAAGAGAGAAGGAACACAAAAAGGGTTGGAAAGAGAAAGCAACTTAACCCACATACTTGAAGGTATTGTTCACAAAAACATAAACAGCCTATGCATTTATCTCCTGAAAACCCGGTTCCTGTGGTAGACACCGTCCTGGCTGTCATTGGGCCTTGCATCGTCGGTCCACTTCCATTTCCAGAAAAGGAGAGCATTTCTCCACCACTTTCTCTTCTTCGAGTCTTCTTTCAGTATGGGCTTCTGTAGTTTAAAATGCAGAGCATCAACGAATCTGAAACTGTCCCGCTTGTGCTTCCGGGCTTCTTCTAAGATTTTCTTTTTCGGAAAACACAGAGAAAATAAATGCATTTAAGTATCATTGGAAGGTCTGAAAAGGAAGATTACAAAAAAGGGGGAACAACGATATAAACAAACATAAACAGATTATGACCTGAAAATAATCAATTTGGGGGTTGAAGCCGTAGTTGCTGAAATGCTGAGGGTCCGGCATTGGAAATATCGGAGACTTGTTCAACATTTTCCCTCTCCCTCTCTCAGCTATTTGTATTGCTTCACCTTACCAGTTCCCATCGGGATATCTTTGTGTTCTTTTTATCAACCCTTTTGCTGTAGCAGCAGCCGAATAGAAACAGAAGAGGAAACTGAGAAAAAGAAGAAGAGGGAGGGAGGGAACCAGGAACGAGATGAGTTAGAAAGTAAACGTAAAAGGTGGTATTCGGAATGTTTATCACAGTGAACAGTATTTCTGATTAGTTAAATGAGATATTTTAGTGAAAATAGATGCATATTAATTTCGAAAAGGTTAAAATAGATATTTTGAAATAAAATGATCATCATGTTAACGCTTTTCGTCTTGGTCATTGATAGAAGGAAAGTATTTGTCGATTTTTTTGTTTTTTTTTAAAGGGGAGATTTTTGCTAAAGTAAAATTATAGGGGAGGTTTTTATGATTGTCAGAAACTTCAAGAGAAGTTTTTTGTATTTTACTCTAAATAATATATAATATTTAATATATATTATACCTATATAGCTCTGACTGAATCTGAATAAGTTCATGACTGAATGGAACCGATTCCAAACGGAACCATTGGTTTCAGTTTCTACAATTAGAACTGGCCCATTCTATTTGGGTTTATTGGGTCGGACCCGACCCATTGACAACCTTAACTACACCTACGACAAGAACTGCAAAAGTGAATTCCAAATGTGGGTTCTCACTTCCACATACCACCTCCACGGGCGTTGGACGATAGTAAATAATATAGCCGTCTATGTTTGACAGGCCGGGCTATCGACGGGATTTTCCTTGCAATCCTCATGATACGTACAGGGTTGTGGGTATTGATGATCAACCCATTTTTGCTGGTTATTTTAGTGCAGTGTTAAAATCATATTGTAGGAAAGATGGTTTGATTTAAGATGCATGAAAAAACATTGACTGCCCACGGTAGATTTTTAGTAGCTATCTCCTCCAAATAGCATTTAATTGTACATTTATTTTAAACTCAATGGGGTTGTAGGATTCCCTTACTTTCATAGAAAGTTTTTGCTTCGAAAGTATTCTAGAGTCTATATTAGTTGAAATAATTGTTTGCGGCTAACCCATTTATTTTAAACTCAATGGGGTTGTTGGAACATGTTCCATAGGTAGACCCTGAATACAATCTTGGAACCACCAAGGCTAATCCATGCTCACCCCTCGCATATTCCCATGCAAAATAATATGTAAGAGCATGAGATGTTCCCCATGTATAGCTACGATTTCATGTGGGTAGAGTTGTCATAAGCAAGAGATTCATACTTTTCCTGATTAGAAGTGTAAATTGGGCAGTGTTGTTTGCGGCCCGGCACGAACTTGGATCGGCCCAGCATGACGGTCCACGGGTCGTGCCAGGCCTGGCACAATCATGCGGTTTGTGTTGGGCCTGGGGTTTTATGTCCATGGGCCGGCACGACACAATACGACCAAGCGGGCCGTGCCGCTCGTGGCCTGTGGGCCGGCACAGCCCAACCCGACCTAGCACGGCCCAACACAACCCATATATATTATTTATATATATTTTATATAATATATAAATTATAATTATATAATAATATATAATATATAATATATTAATAAAATAAATAATTTTTTTTAAATTTATTATACTAATTTATTTAATTATTGTATATATAAGCAATTGTATACATAAAATTCATATAAAATTAAAATTTTAAGTTTTTTATCAATTTTTTAAATAAATAGCTTTGGCTCGATGCACGGCCCGACCTGGACCAAGGCTCGGCCCACGGGCCAGCCCGACCCACGTCACGGCACTGGCCCGCTGCTGTGTTCGGTTCGATTGAAGAAGAGAAGAAGATGGCCGCTGCTGTGTTCAGTTTGAATGAAGAAGACTACCGTTGGCCACTGGTGTGTCTGCTGTGTTCGGTTCGAATGAAGAAGAAAAGAAGATGGCCGCTGCTGTGTTCAGTTTGAATGAAGAAGAGAAGAAGATGATCGCTGCTGTATTCGGTTCATTCAAATGAAGAAAATTACCGTTGGGATATAAAAGGTATAATGGGATGGAAAGTTTCACTTATCTGACGTGGCAGGGTGGGGGAGCTGAAATAAATTTTACATTTATTTGGGTGGAATTGAATCGAGTTTCCGTATATCTTTAATTGAATTTTCGACTTTATCCAATAGAAATTCTTTATAAATGAAACCCAAAGGAAACCCAGCAATTTTGGCTGGCATTTCGTATGTCATAATTTATCGTAAACCATACGTAGTTATTAGTCAATGCATATATAAGACTAGAAGAGAAGACTGAAGACTTTAACCAAGTACGTCTTTTTCAAGTCTCCGTCTCTCTCTTTCTCATATGGGGTGAATACCCAAATCCCTATTTAATACTGGGGACTTGGTCATTTGGCATTATAGTAAGAGACAAGGATTAACCAGAATGAAATACTTCATCATCCATGAAAATGGGGTGAGAATTACTCGTATGGAATTTCAGGCCATTGAATAGAACAGCAAAGTAGTTTGAAGGAGTGTGTACACAGAACACCTAAGATTGTAAGAATAAATAAAAGAAAATTCTCAATAGATCTACTACTGTCTTTTCAAACAGGCAAAAGCAACAGGTTAATGAGTTGATATTGGACAATAGAGAAGAAAAGTTAGTTTGTGAATTGTGACTTTTCACTGTACAATATTCATTATTTTTTCAAGTAAACAGAAGATTTGCCTTACGAAGTTATTAAACAACTTTTGTGGTCAAATTAAATAATTAACAACATATAAAATATTTTATTGTTGTTTTGATAATCAGTATATATCCACCTATGAAATTTCTTTTTGATACAAATCCACCTATGAAATATTTTAAGGTGGTCGCTCCATCACTGGCGTAAACTTTGGGGTTGAAATAAAAATCAATCCACCAGTAGTATATGCAAATCAAGGAGATCACGACGTCCAATTAGTATTACTATAACTGAATAAGCTTTTGCTTTTGTCAGCTTTGCGCTTTAGTTGTGAGATAAAAAATGAGTTCTGAATGTTTGGTAAGAATCGCTTTGAAACTGTCAACCTGTCAATGGGTCCCCATACCTCCCGTTGACTTGACTTTTATAGTTTTATTCCTGTCTGAGTTTATTCACATTTCTACTATTTGTCATGTCCTGTTAATATAAGGTAAATCAACACAAATTCACGAGAGTGAAAGAAAATTAAACCGCCAGCGTTAGCAGTAAGTTTCTCACTTATTAATAAGGAAGGGAATGATCAGCAAATCAACCTGAGGCTTACTACTATGGTTCTTATTAACATGCTGCTGCTTCTTCAAATCCTTGTGCCAACGGCAATATATGCATCGCCAACTGAATCAATGGCAAAGCCAGGGTGCCAGGAGAATTGTGGGAACGTCACCGTTCCCTACCCGTTCGGGATGGTTGATGACCAAAATTGCTACAGATCTTTGTATGAAGTAACCTGCAACCACAGTTTCAACCCTCCGAAGCTGTTCTTAGGGACGAATGGAAACGTTGAAGTTTTAGAAATCTCATCATCAGGCAGTTTGCGCGTCAAAACCTATATAGGTTATCGTTGCTACAATACTTCGACGAAATCGTACTGGTCACTCCCGTCGCTCGATCTGAAGATAAGACCCTATAGTTTTTCCGACACCCGCAACAGATTCACTGTTATCGGCTGCGACACATATGCTTACATAGATGGTTCCAAGGGGCGCAACTTCACAAGCGGATGTTCCATGGTTTGTAGCGACCAACAGAGCCCGATTAATGGGTCATGTTCAGGCATCGGCTGTTGCCAAACTTCCATCCCCAAGGGGTTTAAAAGGTTCGAGGTGGAGATTTATAGCTTCAAAAACCACACCCAAGTCTGGGATTTCAATCCATGCAGCTACGCTTTTTTGGTTGACTCTGACTGGTACAACTTCTCAGTACCCGATCTCTTGGGCTATAAGGAGTTTTTCTATAGAAATGAAGAAATGGTTCCAGTCATCCTTGACTGGGCAATAGAAAACTATACGTGTGAGAATGTTTCAAGAAACGACCCATCATATGCATGTGGCAATAACAGCGAATGCTATAACTCCCCCAACGGTCTCGGATATCTTTGTAAATGTTCCCCAGGTTACCATGGCAATCCTTATCTCCAAGACGGATGCAAAGGTACGTACATAATCTCCTTCCTCTTCACTACTCGATCGGCACATAAGAGTAAATATACTTCTTGTACTTCAGAGTTTAGCTAACTGAGTCAATTTGGATAATTAATGAGATGCAGATATAGATGAGTGCAACGATGGAGCTAGTAACGACTGTAAAGGGATTTGCACAAATACGCCTGGGAGTTACAACTGCTCCTGCCCACTTGGTTTGGAGGGAGACGGAAGGACGACTTGCATCGTACCGATGCATCCACTGAAGCAATATCTGATTCTACAACTAACCATAGGTACGTAATTAACAAAGCCCACAGTAACTCTATTAATGCCTCAAGTTATTTTAATATAAATAGTCGCCGACACCAAAAATATTTAAAATCTTATTTATAATTTAAATTTTTATTTATTTTAAGTAAATTTGTTTTTTAGAAAATATTGTTATCTAAAAAATATTCAGGGATTCAGGTCCCCGCCGGGATCCATCCCCGCTAGGGATTGAGGATGGAGGACAAATTTTATCTCCGACTGGGATCGGGGATGAGTATGAGGGTTAATTTCAGAATTGGGGTCGGGGACATGGAATATGATCCCTGCCCTGTTGTCATTCCTAAGAATCATTTTGTTAGGCATAACTAAAATAATAAAACCTAGCACAAATCAAATAAAAAATTTAGATCAGTTTGGTTTGTAGTCAGAGTTGGAATCAAAATTGGAATCGTAATTCTTTAGAATCAGAATCGGAATGGTCTATTTTCATAATCTGTTTGGTTGAGACAGGGATAGGAATCAGATTTCATTCCCAAGGGAGTGGTAGGGAATGATCATTCCCTGGAATGGAGGAATGTCATTCCAACAGAAATGAGAATGAAATTCTGATTTCTTCCAACCAAACAATTGGAATCGGAATAACCCATTCCTATTCCAATTACAAACCCCTATTCCCGTGAACCAAACAGGGTCTTATATACCACTGATTTGATGGTGCTTCTCAAATAAAATATAAAAGGATAGTTTCTTTGTAGCATGGGTTTAATAACTGGTACTATAGAAGACTAAGGCTGCATTTGGCATTGGCATTGTCTTATTTCATTTTCACAATTAAAAGTTCATAAGGGCATTTTAACTAATAAGTCCTTAATGCCAAGCAGCCTAAAACCCCGATCTATGCATGACACATTTTGATAGATAGAATTAAATATTGGTTGTCATGTGGCTAACACGGAGTGTTCGCATTGTTAATTAAGATTTTGTTTGTCTGTTTGTTTATTTACTTTTTGCCACATGAACAAAAACATATGTGGCTCAAAAACATTTGTTAATTTAAGTGCTTTTAAGGCAATTCGATTTTTTATATGCATAAACTAAATTTCTTTGGAAATCTATCAATATAAAATATATTTCCTTACATATTTTGATAGGATCTTTTAGTTCCTATTCACTTTCTCTACCTACCCCCTACCCACAGTATACTGCAGCTGCACATCTCAATACAAGTTTGGCAGCAATTCAAGGCGGATAGAGTGTGGGTAGAGAGTATAGCTAATGAGCATAAATCCGGTTCGGATCTTTTATGACTTGTGATTGGTCATGTGTTAATGTAGGTACTGGCTCAGGCATTTTGTTCCTACTTATTGGGGGCTCTTGGATATATTGGGGATATCAAAAGAGAGAGATAATCAAGCTTAGAGAGAAATTTTTTAAGCAAAATGGAGGTCTTTTGCTGAAGCAACAACTCTCTTCGCATGATACCAATGTAGAGGCTGCAAAAATCTTTACTGCGGAAGAGCTTGAAAAGGCAACTGACAATTATGAGGAGAGTCGAATCCTTGGTCGTGGTGGCTATGGTACAGTATACAAAGGAATTTTACCTGACAACAGGATGGTTGCTATTAAGAAGTCCAGAGTAGTTGACGAAGGACAGGTTGAACAATTTATTAATGAGGTGGTTATTCTCTCTCAAATCAATCATAAGAATGTTGTGAAACTCTTGGGTTGTTGCTTAGAGACTGAAGTTCCACTATTAGTATATGAGTTTATTCCTAATGGAACCTTATTCCACCATATTCATGATGAGGGACACGAATCTTCAATTTCGTGGGAAAATCGTCTAAGGATAGCCACGGAAACAGCAATAGCACTTGACTATTTACACTCTGCAGCCTCTCCTCCAATCATTCATAGAGATATTAAGTCTCCTAATATACTCTTGGATGAAAATTATATGGCAAAAGTGTCAGACTTTGGGGCTTCAAGATTGGTTCCATTAGATCAAACTCAGTTTACTACATTAGTTCAAGGGACACTGGGTTACTTGGATCCTGAATATTTTCATACAAGTCAATTAACAGAAAAAAGTGATGTTTATAGCTTTGGCATAGTTCTGGTAGAACTATTGACTGGAAGAAAAGCACTAGAATTTGAAAGACCTGAAAAAGAGAGAAACTTGGCAACCCATTTCATAACTTCAATGAAAGAAGACAACGTTTCAGAAATTTTGGAGGAGAGGGTACTAAATGAATGCAGCAAGGATCAACTCCAAGAAGTCACTCAGCTTGCTAAGAGATGCCTAAGTGTGAAGGGAGAGGAAAGACCGACAATGAAAGAAGTAGCTATGGAGTTAGAGGGGTTAAGGAGGTCGAGCAAACACCCATGGGTAGAACAAACTCGTGAAGAAACAGAGTGCTTACTTGGGGAGACATCAAGTTTTCATAACAGCAATAATATTGGCTATGATAGTTTAAGGGATCAAGTTGTCATACCATTGGATAGTGGGCGATGATCATTTAATTTACTTCTTCAACTAAATCTTCTGCTATTTGTAATGCTTCTTAATTAGTTGCGTTTGATTTCCAACAAAATAAATTTCCCTAGCTCTTAAATAAATTATTATCATCTTCATATTATTTAATCTGTGCTCAATAAATTTGCTTTGCTGTTCATTGGCAACAAATGAATGTACAATTATAGTTGGAGGTAGTGTTACATGAACAACTTTCAATTTAATGAAATAATATTAAGGCATCAGCTATATAGATTGTTGATTTCCTAATCTCTTTCATCAAATCTTATGACTTTTTTTTTCTAGTTAACTGCTTTTGTTATTGATTTTTTCCATATAATTCTACAGAAAATACGCCAGCAAACTTTACAGCTATCTTTGGGTTGAAAGAAAAGGTAGGGAAGGGAATGGACAGGACATTAGCTAGTTTCTTTCAAGCCAAACACAGCCTAACTAACGATGATCGGCTCCACATGAGAAGTTTCTTACAAAACTATAAATTGACGCCCAGTGGGCACGACACTAGAGAGTTTCGTCGTTTTTTCCTTTGGCCCTTTTCAATAATATATCTTCTCGTGCATCACAGTAGTTAGTTACTGGTTAACGCATATATGGATATAAAAACAGACCTTTGATTTTCAGTCTTTATTAGCCATTTAACGAGAAGGGACCCGGATAATGCACGGACCGATGTAAACAATGTTTGTACTAATTCTGCATATGGTTATGAGAGTGAGGATACGTTAATATTAGGTGAAATTAAAAGAGAAAAGTATTAATTACAAACTGCACATGTGCCCTATGCTTACTTCTAAATCTTAATTTCAAGAAAAAAAAAAGTTGAATACACTAGACTTTCTTATATGGTTAATACACCATTTCAGCTTAAGGCTGCATTCGGTTTGATAGAATATACGAAAAAAATAGATAACCCAAACTTATATGAAAATTTGGGATTTGATAAGTAAATAAAAATTTATTTAAAAAAGGGTTTTTACTCTACCTTCACCGTACAGTTGGAGGTAGTATCAGCTCGGAAGTAATGTCAATTTACGGAGGGGTATGGGTGTTATAGGTGGAGGTATTCATACTTTCGAATTGTTGTAGGTCTATACATTAAATCTGAATTTTAAGATGGAATGTAGTCTAAAAATCTCTAAATCTCTAAAAAGAGGAGATGGCAAAAGAGATTTAGATACGGGCCCAGTCCAACAAAAAGAAGGCCTATTTATCTATAGTAGAACGACCCAACCCAGTAACACTCGTCCTTGTTGGATGTGATGCAAATTACAAATGCATGGGACTATAAATGAAAAGAAGGTAAATTCTGGTTTCATATTGTTTTGGCTTTTCCTTATTCCATTTCAGGTCTTATTTTATTGCATTTGTTCTGCAATCAAACAAAATAAGATATATTCGAAAAATTTACAATCAGTTAATATCACAAATGAGGTGGTCAATCAGGTGGTATTAATCAAAATTTACAATGATACTTTGATTGGTCAAAGCTTTTCCGGTACCAAATCTATCTGATATCGTAGATTTTTTTTTTCTTTTTCAAATAGCTTAGTCAAAACAGTAGAGTTACTGCTGAACTCATGGTTTTAGAACCGCCGTTGATTTGGACGGTCAAACCATTTGGCCTGGGAATCATCCAAGCAATTGGTTCTATTTTATTTCAAACCCAGTTTCTGGAAGAAAACCATTGAATTGATCAATGACCCATTGATCTGGGCAATCAAATCATCTGCCCGTCTACCCATTCAATGGTTTTTGGCTGTTTTTATTTTTAATTATTCTTTTTTGTTTTTTTAAGTTTTTGTTGTCTGAATGGGCTGTCCATTCGAACCAGATGGTCGAATCGTCAATTCAGAAATCGGCAGCCAGAATGTTTCCGTTTCCGGGTCATTTTTTAAAACCATGGCTGAACTACGTTGCAACTTCATTGGCAAATAAAGTGATCACCGTTAAACAGTAGAGCTACTTTGATAAAATAAAATGATTTTCCAATTGTGACAATTATTTACATATAATGCATAAAATGTTAAAAGTAAATTACCTTCTTTCATTAATTTGGTAGCAGTTCAAATCAAGTAACCACAACGTTGTAAGCATGTTCGATGAGTAATTAGAAAGTTTTTTGACAACTATTTGATGAAAATATTCTTGGAAGAATGACGGTTCAGCCCAGGGTCAAAATTTTTAGGCACGAAGTACAGTTGGGGTGAATGCTAGCTCGGAATTGATGCAAATCAAGCGAACAGATTGTTTCGTATATAATTGAATCATATTTATGATTTTTTTTCTGATTCTATACAATTAATTAAAAACAATAGTAGATCAATACGGGCTTGTATTATTTTGTACTTTTTCCAAACTGAGCCTTAGGTAGTTTAGCAAATGAACATTTTTGTTAGCATTTCATTAGAAAATGGACTGAAAATGTCGCTGCATAATATTATACAGGGGGAGATGTTCCTAATTCATGGCTGGGTGACTTGAACTCGCTTAATTAGTCTCAGAGACGAGTTTATGATTTTCTAACATTAGCGAGATGACTTTTTTGGCTTTTCCAAAATTGTCTTAATTGGTACGTACTTCCTTATCTATAAAAAAATGGCTTCCCACGCTAAATTGAAGCATAAAAAGTCTCCACTGCACAGCCATGCATTAAAGGGTTGACTCGACGCGACCTGAATATACTGCTAAGATCTCGTATTTAAAAATGAATTTCGTGGAAAGTTCGGTGATTATAAGCAATAGACTGGTTAGGTTTCGGGCCTTTGATTTGTCAAATTGATGAAAGTGAAGTTGAAGTTGTGGATTTTACTTTAAATAAGGTTTTGAACCAAGAGGGAGTATGGTCTTTTCATGACATTGGAACTATTCCTCATGCCATTCAAACGAGAGCTATAGACTCAAATTGTTGTTTAAGCAGTGAAGATGATAGGTTAGTTTGGAAATTTAATCAAAGTGGCTCTTTCACTACAACATCTGCTTGGAATATCATTAGGAATCATGGGCAGCACATCTACTAGTTTAAATATATTTGGAAAGTTAATCTCCCAATACTTTTATGTGGAGATTTATGCATGGTAGAGGTGTTAATTTGGCTTCCAAGTGTTGTTGTGGTAATCATGGGGTGGAATCATTTGGCTTCTAAAATTTGGTCTTATTTTAGTAACCTCTTTAACATTCCCATCTATCCTACTCTACATGTAGTGGATTGAGTTCTTCATTGGTGGAATGTTTGTGAAAAAGATACTCAAATGAATCAAGTTATTTGCATCACTCCATTTATAATCCTTTGGACCATGTGGAAAGAAAGATGTAAACATATGTATGAAGTTAAGGGTTCTTCATCCTTATTACTTATAGAAAATATTAAGAAATGATTGAAGGACATCAATAATAACCACGTGAAGAGCAAATTTGGCTAATGTATGGGCACCCCATCCCTAATCATATATAGCGATTTATTTATTTATTTATTTATGTTGAAATGTACAGCACAAATTCATTTATTTATCTCAATTCCACTAATGTATGGGGAAATGAAATTAAACCTTCACTTGAGCTATATTTGGTTTGCAGATATAAGAGAGACAGTCAAACAGAAAGTTGTAGGAAAATTCTTCAGAAGCTTTGTGAAATTTCTTAAGAACTTAACSTCAACGTTCTGTTTCTCTCTTATTTTCTATCTTCAATCATTCAGTCATTACATTTAACCCTCTTCATATTTCATTAAGTGTTTACTTTATTCATTGAAAAGGAGGATATGAAAAGAAGAAAAGAAGTTAGAAACCACCAAGTGTATTAGGAGACATAAACAGTAGTGAAATRTATTGCAATAACCTGGTGCAATAAATATTATGCTTGTTCAAGAGAGATTCATGATCTCTTTAATTAGTCCACCCATAAATGATCCCATCAAAGGCTATTATTTGACATAATGAGTTTATTAGTCGCATTGCTTCAGTCGTTCCTTCTGATGATATGGCCAACTATGGCGGCACCATCAAAGGTGTCGTCGATGGCGAAGCCCGGTTGCAACGAGACGTGTGGCAACATTACTGTTCTAYACCCCTTTGGTTTGGATCAGCCAAACTGTTACAGAGACGAGCACTACAGTCTGACCTGCAACTACGCTTTCAACCCTCCCAAACTATTCTTAGGAAGCTTGGAAGTCTTAGAAATATCATCCTTAGGGCATTTGCGTATCAACAACTATGGATAATGACCCTCTTACACTTCAAGTGCTAAACATTCCTTTGAAAGCTTCAAAACAGAACAAATACAGATGGGTTAGCTGGAAATTTGCAAGTAATTTTGCTTACAAGATGAATGTGGATGGGGCTTGTCGCGGCAATCCTAGTGAAGGAGGAGGTGGGGGTTTACCTAGAAACTCGTTTGGAACTCTCATATTTGCTTTTCACTGTTACTATTGTCAGTCTACCTCTACTCAAATAGAATTTTTAGCTTTGTATGATGGTCTAAGCCATTGTTTGCAAAGAGGCTATAAAGAGATTGAGGTTGAAGGTGATAACATGATTATTATTGACATTCTAATGGGTAGATCGAATTATCCTTGAAACTCTGTTTACATCTTGCGCAGGATTAAGAATTTAGTGCAAAGAATGAATATTAGGTAGACCCATATTTTACGAGAAGGAAATCGTTGTGCTGATCTCCTAACTAACAAAGGAGTTGATGAAAGATGCATGCTTAAAGTGATCAATGACAATTCCCAAATTCCTAGACATTTAGCTCGTCTTATTCACGAAGATAATTTGCGTTCTCCTATCCTTAGAATTAATTAGGTTGTGCTTGGCTTTTTTTTGGTCGGCCTGAGATGGTGAGAGAGAGCTATATATGTTTGGGTAATGGAGCAAGGCGGACTAAGTCCTCCCCTGTTATTACAAATTTTTCTTTTGAGAATGGTTTAAGGTGGTCGCCCTCCACCTGGATTAAAGTTTGGGGTTAAAAAAAAAAAAAAAAAA